GACTTCGGCTTCTGCTTCTGTGGATTCCCGTTCTGTTTCAGTCCGTGTCCCTCGTCTTCGACGCACTTCAGGTCCTTGATCTGGTAGTGGTCCTTGCAGAAGAGCTGCCGACATTGCCGACTGAAGGGGTCCCAGATCTGCTGGCCGCGCCGTTCACAGAGGGGGTTATGCGAGTGAGAGGAGTACATGTTGCGCGGTTGGNCGACATTGCCGACTGAAGGGGTCCCAGATCTGCTGGCCGCGCCGTTCACAGAGGGGGTTATGCGAGTGAGAGGAGTACATGTTGCGCGGTTGGCCGTCCAGACCGAGGTTGATCAGAATAGCGAAGGAGGAAGGCAACAGGCTCGAGGAGCCGTCAAAGTAGGTGCCCTTGACCAGGGAATTATTTCCAGCCGGGGTTGATGGTGGTGGTGGTAGTGTAAATATTCGCTGTTGAAAAGGGTAGGATAAGGATTGATTGGTGAAAGTTGTTGTCGTTGTAGTATGATGATGCCCTCCAGTTAGGCAAATCGAATCGAGGAATCCACCACCGACAAGAATGAAAACAATGAAAATGACATTTCGAGAAGTGGTGATCTTTATTCGAAACTTCAGTGGTGATGATGGTGATGGCGATGATGGCCGTTGATGCATTTTGTGGTGGCAAAGGTGGTAGTAGTGCAATCTTCAAGTCGAATGCTTTTTGCACTGGTGGTGGTGAATGACAGCTTACAAACCATAATAACAAAAAAGCCAAAGGTGAGGGAACATAAAAGGGGGAAGAAAAGAGAGAAGGAAGGCAAATGTGTTTTTGTTTGCGCGAGTTTGTTTCTTCTTTTTTCTGAGAGTGTTGTGTTTACACAGCAGCGATTTCCAGTCGATTCTGGCGGTGGTTATATTTACCAACACCTCCTAATGGCGGCGACGGTAGTGGTGGTGATTTTAGAAGCCTTGGAGCTGAAGCTGCTGCTGCTGCTGCTGTACAACTGCAGCTACCGCCGCTGTACAGTACGCAATGGAAAGGTAATGGGGAGGAGATATAAAGTAGTGCTCTTGATGGCTCTAAGGTGACTGAAGTGGCCACTTACCACCTAATCACCACCGCAAATCAGTCGATAATGGCCACCACCATCATCATCATCATCGGCAGCAGCAACAGCAGCAATCCAATTATCATCTACCTCTACTACTAATGTCACACTGCATTACACCTGTCATCGCTAAGACTTCGATTGCCGACGCCGACGCCGCTGCCGCCGCTGATAATCGAAAACTGGATCACCTTCTTTTCTCTCTCTCTCTCTCTGTCTCTCTGTTTGTATATCACCACAAACTACTCTCTCACTTTTCAAGGTGGAGAGGTACACAGACTCTCAAGGTTGTGTGCAGTGGCTGTACTGTACTGTGTAGAAGTGGAAGACTAGAAGACAGCAGCAAATGGTATCAAAAGTATCAAAAGCGTAAAACAAACAATCAACCAAAAGGAAGGAGTTCAGCCCTCCTCCTTTCTTCCCCTGCCACCCTCCATGACCGTCCTCAGCTTGGCCACATTCGTCCTCGTGATGGCGTCCTCGGGGCTGATGGCCAGCGCCCTCCCGTAGGCCTCCATCGCCAGGGCGTGCTTCCCGTTCAGGTGGTAGATGGCGCCCAGGTTGGACCAGCTGAGGAGGTCGCCCGGGCGGACGGCGGCCGCCTGTCGGTAGTAGGTCTCCGCCTCGGCCGGCCGGCGCAGTTCGCGGAGGACGTTCGCCGCGCCGAGCAGCAGCTCAAAGTGCCCTGGAAAGCGGGTCAGTCCGCGGCGGTACAGCTCCAGGGCGTGCTCCAGGTTGCCGGTGTTGGCGGTGAATTGGGCTGGAGGAGAAAAACAGGTTAAGATGTTTAGCTTAACAATTAATCTATTCTACAACCTACCGTAGTGCTGAAAGACGNCTCCAGGGCGTGCTCCAGGTTGCCGGTGTTGGCGGTGAATTGGGCTGGAGAAAAACATATTAAGATGTTTAGCTTAACAATTAATCTATTCTACCACCTACCGTAATGCTGAAAGACGATGGAACTCTCATTGGAGTTCTTCATTCCACTCGTGAATGCCAACGCCCGTCGGTACAGGGCGTCCGCCTCCTCGGTTCTATTTCCCGCGGCGAGCAGCTTTGCGTAGGTGAGGTGCGCCGGCAGGTGATCCCCCTTCACCGCCAGCGCCTGCCTGAAGGCCCGCTCAGCGGCCTCGGCGTCGCCCAGCCGCCACTGCACCTCACCGAAGACGTTCAGCAGCGAGTGGAGGGCGGGGTAGTGGGCGGGGGCACGCCTCAACGCCTCCTCCAGCACTGCCGCCGCCACCTTTTGGTCGCCCTCATCGGCGAGCATTCGCGCGAGGTTGTAGAGGGCGCCGATGCGAGCCGTCTCATGGGCACGAACATCCTTCAGTCCGGCGGTGTTGTCGAGGGCGGCACAGCGTCGGTAGACGGCCTTCGCCTCCTCCCGTCGCCCCAAAGCGGTGAGCACCGTGGCCAGATTGAGGTGGGCGAGGGCCAGTCGAGGGCGGTAGGAGATGGCCTGCTGGTAGGCGGCCAGTGCCTCCTCCTGACGACCCGCTTTTCCACCTCCTTCTCCGCCTGGTGACTCCTGCAGCAGAAGGCCGAGGTTGTAGTGGACGTCGGCCATGTTCGGTCGGTGGCGAAGGGCCGCTCGGTAGGCGGCCTCCGCCTCTTCGATCCGTCCCTGCGCCTTGAGGATGTTGCCGAGGTTGCCGAGTGCTGAAAATGTGATAAAAAGAATGTATCTCAGAAGTTCTAAGGAACAACAACAACAACAAAAACAACAACAGGTCTTAATCAGCCCTTACCTTTAGGCGGATTAACCGCCACGCCCGATCGGTAGAGGTTCTCTTCGGTCAGCCAGTCGACGTTGCGCAGCACTGTTCTCAAGCTGAAGGCCACCAGGAGGACCGTCGTGGAGGCGTAGATGATAGCGGCTGTTTTTGAGTTATTACTTTGGCGGCGATTTGCCACAGTAAATCGGGTACCCTGTTGTTTGCCGCTTCGAGGAACTGCCATCTGCAGACACTGGTCAATGGCCACCGCCAGCAGGAGGCAGTAGCCAAAGGAGGGGATGTAGAGGATGCGCTCGGCAATGACGAAGCCTAAAAGGAAAGTAAAGACAAAGAGTTTGAGATGAAGTATTAAAAAGCTGATCTAAAAAATCTTACCGACGTAAAAGAAGAGATTACTCGCCGGGAGAAAGGGAATGATGGTCAATGCAAGGGAAAAGGAGAGACAGTCCAGGCGACAGAGAACTGTGCTGCTGGCTGAGGAGAGTGGGGAATGATAATGACTGGGCTGAACTTTGGGAGTTGGTGTTGTCTGTTGAGTGTTCTTTTGTTTTGAAGAAAGTTGTGCAGCTGTGAAGGCGGTTGTTGTGAAGTTGTTGTTCGTAGGAGCATGACTAGAAGGAGGTTGAAACACTGACTCGGTTTGCGGCGCAGGGTAATTTCTATTTGGCACCGAGGCGTCATTGTTATTGTCATCAAAGTCAGCGTTGCTGTTGTTGTAGTTGATGGCCGAGCTGTTGTTGTTGTTCTCATCGACCACTGCCGCCGCCTCCGCTGCCGCTTGTTGAAACTGATGACCATTTCGAAAATGGTGGCCGTTCTTCAGTCCGTAGCCTTCGCATCGGCTGCAGTCAGCCGGCTTTGAACTAATCGTCTGAAGTTGCCTTGAAGAAGGCTGCTGTGATCTCCTCAACAAAGAACTTCGCCGGTAAAAAGCGATCACCCTCTTCAGCAGCAACAGCAGCCCACCATAAAAGGCCACTGAAATGAGGTTCCTCGGATCGGCCAGGCCGCGCACCAGCGGCACCGCCTCCATTGACCAGTCAAAGGAGAGGGTGGCCGGGTGAAGAAGGAGGGCAAAGTTGGCCGTCGGCAGGTAGAGAAAGGTGAGCAGGCGGACGAGCAGTGAGGGGCTGGCACTGGCAGGGTTGTCGGCCGCTGAGAAGGTGGGCGTGCCGCCGCCACTGAAAGGAATGATCAGCAGGCGAAGTAGCAGCAGTGCGGCGGTGGCCACCGTCAGGTGGAGCAGACCTCGCCGAAGACATCGAAGACGCTTTTTCGAAGAGTTCTTGAAGGTGAAGATGGTCGCCAGGGTCTTCACCGAGGGGGCGAGGCGGTGGACGACAAAGAGGTGGTAGTAGGCGGCCACGGCCAACACCGTGATCCCGTGCTCTTTGCTGAACATTGAGGCGGCGGCGAGGAGAAGGCTGCCGTAGAGGTGCAGCCAAATAGAAACTCCTCCTCGCCCTTGTTTGGAGTTCTCCAACTTCACAAATCGAACATAGGCGTTGAGGGAGGCGAGGTAGAAGGCGCCCGCCAGCAGATCCGCCCTTCCCACCACACTACTGACCGCCTCCACGTGAATGGGATGAGCCGCAAAGAGGAGGCCGCTGAGGAGGGTCACCCTCCGGTGGACGGCCGCCGCCTGGAGGACTGTGGTGTAGAGGGCGGTGACGAGGCCGTGCAGCAGCAGATTGCCCAGGTGGTAGCCGAGTGGGCGCAGGCCGTGAAGAAGGTAGTTCAGACGGAAGGTGGCCACCGTCACCGGGCGATAGCTGCCATGTGAGTTAGAGCTGCCGATGGGCGTGCCCCAGTAGTCGTGCAGCAGCAGCGCCGACCAGGGCGTCTCCGGGCGGAGGTCATCGTTGGCGGTGATTGCCCGGGTGTCGTCGTAGGCAAAGTCCGCTGGAAGGCTGTTCAGGTAGAGGGCGGTAGTCAGGGAGAGAAGGAGTAGGCGTTCCAGAGGGGTGATGGAGGTTTGATGGCAGTTTGGGGGTGGTGGTGGTGAAGGAGGTGGTGACAGTTGAGGAGGCCTCTTTGCTTGGTAAAAGGTATTGCCGATGTGATTTTGAGGTTCACCATTGTTCTTCAGATGTTTTTTCAAAGACTTCTGTTGAGCGCTAAAGCTAGGACAGCAAACGTTGCTGAGAAGGTTTCGAATGAGTTGCATTGAGCTTCAGAGCGTTGAGCAAAAGGTTGAAGAACCAGTTTGCAAGTCCTTCAAGTTGACTGAAAAGTGGTCATCTTCTTCTCTTATGCTTCGGGTTTGTGTTTGGAGGTTCGGTTCAGTTCTGTTTTGGTTGGTTTGCTGTTTTCCTATTGTTGTTACTCAGAAGCAATTGTAAGCTCCGCCCCTCTTTGGATCGATCCAAACCAAAAAAAGAAGACCAGAAAGCTTGGTGAGCCGGGATCGCCATCTAGTGGAGCAGAGTCGCTGGAGTAAAATCGAAAATAAAAGCTTAGACTCTTTTCTCTATCTTTTCGACTCTTGATCGACTTTTGGACATTACTTCGGTGATTCATGGCGACATTTAAAGTGCAAAAAAGGTGTCTGTAAACAGGCACAACAAGCCTATTATTTAGAGTCCTTCAGCTTGCTCTTGAACTTTAGTATTGAGCAGAAGTGATTGAGTGAGCGATGACAACAGGCGAGCGCCGTCGTCGTCGACTTTTTGTTGTCGTCGGCTAAATGAAAGAAGAGAAGTAGAATAAGATGAATAGGCAAAAAGGTACGTACAGTGCCTTCATCATCAGGCGGCAGAGGACATCGTGCTCTTATCATCGAGCCGTCTGCAGACAGACACTCACACAGATCTTTTGTCGCATGTAAATGGATGGAGAGAGAAAGAAAGTGAACTTTCATTTGCTTTGCTGATAAGTCCCTGCTTCAAGTGCACCAGTGACAGTGTGTCGTCTTTGGTCTATCTGTCTGTTCGACATTTTGCCGTTAAAACCCTTTTGAAGTTTTTTTGTTGGTTTCTATTTTTAACCGCCGCCGTCTGCTGCCGTACTGCCCCAAATATCGCTTGAAGCATGATGAGCTAGACAACGCCCATAAAACGCATCTTCCTTTTTTCGGATCAGAAACATTTTATCATCGGTGTGCTTTTCGAACCACCAGCGTTCAATGGTCAGTCGGAGCACTCGTTGGTGGTGGTGGTGGTGACAGTGGTCGCCTGACTCAGAGACATCGAGAGGAGAGCAGTCATGGTCTATAAATAGCCACCACTTTCTGCACTGTAGTGAAGCACTCTAAAACATCCGACATGTTATGCGTACAGAAGCAGTAGACAGACCTCCTAATCAGCAGGCAAATACAGAAGAGTAAAATCAAAAGTTGGGTACATCTTTCTCTAAGTGATTTGTACTCACCGAGAAGAGAAGAGAAAGGGGAGAGGTGTCCCGCCCATTTTGATGACTCAGCTGAGCTGAGTTGCTGCGATTCTTTGACAGTTGCTGGGGAGAAATTCTCTTGTTGTATGCAAATGATCATCACCATCATTATGGTGATGATCGCTGATCACTGTTTTGCGACTCTATTTGGCGAGTACACCTTCATTGGTAATTGGAGGCAGGCAATCGAAGCAATGTCGAAGAAGGTGATTACATAATTACCGAAAAACTTGCCAGCTTCATCAGACCGGAAAGTGGGGAGAACTCGCAAAAGCTTGTGTGGCGCCTGCACGCAGATGTCCTTGAAGCACTGAAGAAGAAGAAAGAGAATGAGGTCCATCACTGACCAGGTTCATCGAAGGTTCACCAAAGGTAAAACCAGATTTCACGCTTTGCATAGCTTCTTCTTTATCTTCAGCAATCACACACCTGTACACTTGCCAGAAGTAGCTGAGTACAACAGTGATATCTCCTCCCCCTCAGCTTCAGCAGTAGACATTTCGAAATGATCACCCTCATCATCATCATCGCCATCATCAAAATGACTTATCCGAAGTCTGACAGCGACGTCGGCGACGCTCTCCGTAGATGGCATCACAGGCGGTTTGTTGTGCAACAAAACATTTTTTTTGTTTGCACCAGCACTGGCAAAGGAAGGAGAACTGGCAGCAGCAGCTGTTGCGGGCCGCTGCCTCCACTTTTCATTCATTTTCTCTTTCTCTTGCGCGCCAGCATCGAGCTGAAGTTATCAGCAGCAAATCACCAACGCCATCCCCATCACCATCACCATCACCATCATCACCACCACCACTACCCCAAACCAGCATCAGCAGTGGTGGTGAAACCAATCACCACCACCAGCCTACTACTGTCTCTCTCCCTTCGGGGGAAGAAGAGGAACGAAGACACACTCACACTCACTCACACCGGTTTTACACTGTCACTCCGCGTCCTCCTCCTCCTCTTCGACGTCTTCGTATAAAAGCAGCGTCCACCAGTGCTAGCCTCTGCAGAACGTAAGACAACGAAGAAGAAGAAGAAGAAGTTTTGAAACTAAAGAATTTTCCAGTTTACGAACCAAACTATTACTATTACTACTACTACTTTTACCATTACCACTTGTGATCATCATCATCATTAACAGCAATGTACGTCAATGCATGCGTGAGCTGCTCCCTACTGCAACTACTCAACTGCTACTAAAGTACAGCTCGCCACGCAATTTACCAAAACCAAAATCTAACGGAACGCATCAAAACAAAACGCATCAAACGCACCAGCACCACTTTACTCTTCTTTTGATTCTTTAAATCGACTCACCTCCAAATACTCATCGACCACTTCGGACCACTGTTTTTTTCGGATACTAAAGAAGAATGACCAAAGGCGACTTAGTCCCTTCGTCCACCGCCTCCAAACCGATCTCCTTTTCCTTTGCGGGGTGCGGCTTTCTGGGCCTCTACCACGTCGGCGTCGCCTCCTGTCTGCGCGAGTATGCGCCCATCAACCGGAACACCAAAATTGGCGGCGCCTCGGCGGGCGCCCTCGCCGCCATGGCCCTCGCCTGTGATCTGCCCTTAGGTACGTAGACTGCACCAGAGCCATTACCACTTTAGTTTACATCACATATGGTACACATATTACTGGTGCGAGTAACACATTGGCGATGATTGTCGACGACGATGATGGTGATGGAGATAGCCCGTCACCGCTGACTTGGTCGTAGCTCAACAAATACACGCACCCAATCATCACCCAAATCAGACAAACACTTTCCTTTGAGGCGCTTCCACACTCTTCTTCTGTTCTGGTCGTGTGTTTTTTGCTGTCAAAGAAGTCGTCGTCGATGATGATTATAACCCTTGTAATCATCATCGACGACGGCGACGACGACGACGGCTTCTGCTTCAGTGCACTGGTGCCGAGGAACAGAAGTGAACAGGCAAAGAATGGCCTTGTAGTAGGCAGCAGCAGTAGCATTTATCTTTCGATCTATGGCAGTTTATTTTTCTTCGTTGACGTTTTTCACTTTTTCATCTTGCGCTGTTTTCTTGCGGCTGAGAACTCCTTGTTTCTCTGCTGATTTACTCTGTTGGTCTGCTTTGGACTGCCTGGAGACAGGCGGCAACAACAACAAAAGCTCAGCATCTTTTCCTTCTTTTTTTAGTGTGTTTGTCGTCTCCAAAGCGACGGCTATTTGCAGGAGGCACATAACTTGCCTGAGTCACTGATAAAGCGGATGATGTTTAGCTTTACTGGCAATTTTATTTTTTGTTATACTTTTGTTGTACTTTAGCTAACAACTGCTGCTGCTTTTGAGGACCACTTTGCTGCTGAGCACTTGAGAAAAGCTCGCTGTCGCTTGACTTTGATCACTGCGGCACTGTTGCCCAATTACTCATGACTAGCTCGTTTTCAGCTAGCTCTCACAAAAAGATGACTTTTGCTCCTCTTTGATTTGGGATCTTCTTGCCCCCTTCGCCTCTTGGTGACCAGCTTTCCAGCGGTGTTTATCACCACCGCTTGGTGATAAACTCTTCTCTACTTGCTGTGACTGCCTGCCTGAACACCAGTGAAGCCTCGCGCGCTCCTCTTATCCTCCTCTTCTTGCTGAACATTAAACATTAAACAATCGTCAACTATGTTGGTCATCAGCATCAGCGTCGTTGATGGGGAGAGTCTGCCTGATGATCGGCGAATCACCACCCGTCACCATCGTCAGTGCCCCCCTTATCACAGTGCCTTTCCTCTCTCTGCTCGATCGATTCGATTTCTCTCTCGGGAGTGACTGTGCCGTCGAGAGCGAGAGTTTCACTGCTCACTCCAGTGAGTGACTCTGACTCGCTCGAATTTGAACTTTCGAATTTGCATCCAAAAGATCACCACCAAGAGCTGCACCAGCACCACCAGCAGCAGCAGCAGCTTGCTTCCTTTCTTATCTTCACTGGCTGTGGCAGTATTTCTTTGTTTACGGCAAGATAAGTGGCAGCAGACAAACGAGAGTGTTTGAGAAGTGGTGAGTCTTTACTAGCACCGAAGTGAAGCTCATCAAGGTTTGAGCCGGCTGAGCTTCTTCTAAGCAGTTTTTGTGAAGGGGAGGGGCGGAACGTTGATAAGCGAGCAGTTGCAGAGAAGCAAGCTTCAGTTTTACTGGTTGTCGTCGTCGTCGTCTTTGTCCGTCACATGATATTGAGGCGGCCTTGCCTCTCTTTCTCTTACACGTTTCACTGAGCTGACTGATCATCAGTTGAAAGGAAGAGTCTCGCCCGTTCATGAGTTCCCGCCCTAAACCTTTTCAGACGCCGAACTGCTGTTCTGCTGCTGCTGCTGTTGTACGACGGAAAACCTGCGGCTGTGTTGGCCTACTGCTCTTCCGCCAAGTAGTGCGCTCGGCTTTCGAGGTGTCTGGCGAACGACATTTGTCACACACTCGAGTTTATATTGTCTTGGGGGGAAAGCTGTTGCTTTGTTTAGCACCAGTTTTAGTGCACAATTGCGCAAAAAAATAAAATACGCTGAAGGTACTAATAATAACGAGCCAGACTGAGCAACACAATCAGCGCTGATAGTTTGCTGCTGTTGTTGTTATCTATTGAGAGCAGTTCACCACTAACCAACAAACTGTCTCTTCCTCCTTCCTCCTTCCTCCTATTTTTTTTTCATTAGGTGAAAGCACCAGCGAGATCCTCTCGGTGGCGATCAAGGCGAGGGCACGCGCCCTGGGCCCCTTCCACCCCAGCTTCGACGTGAATCGCATCATCTACGAGAGCCTGGTGA